CTATCACGGTTTGGTCAACGGGTCATTTGGGGTTACACTTGCCCCAGGGCTAATCCCAAACGCCCCCCCCCCCCCAACACACAGTGTTGCTGCAGCAGGCCATGCTGCTGTTGCTGCCCCTGGCTGATGGAGCTCCTGCCACGCCCAGCTCACTTGGTTGCACGTTCCGCCAGGAACACCTTGAAACGCTGCTCCACATCTGGATCCATTCCTGGCTGCTGCATGAAGTCGACGACGAGATGTGCCAGCTGCAGGGAGCAGTGCGGGGGGGCGCGGTAGGTGGGGTGCAGCGGGCGGAAAAGCTCGCAGCAGGGCAGGCCGTAGCGCGCGGCGGCAGCGACAGCTGTGCCGCATGCTTCCACAGGCCCAGCGCACCAGCGCCTGCTGCTTACACACAAAATTCTGGCCAAAAGCTGCCCCAGGCCTCACCTGGTCAAAGTCGGAGGTGACGTTGAGGATGGCGGACTTCAGTGGGGGCGGCGGGGCGGGCACCGCACGCACCGTCTGCCACGCCCAGCCGCACGAGTTGCCCAGCAGCAGCAGCGTGGCGTTGTACACTGCGAGGGGAGGAGGCCAGTTAGCAGGGAAGTGAGCGCTCTGCCCCCGCCAATGCGGCCACCAGTCGGAAGCTCAGTGGTTGAAGGGGAGCGGTGGAGGCGGGAGGAGCCCAGCGGCCGCGCGCGCCGCACCTGACATGGGCGACAGCCTGAGCAGCAGCGCCGAGCCCAGCACCAGCAGCGCTATGCGCCGCTTCCTTTGGGGCGGCATGCTGGTGAGTGGGGCGAGGGCAGAAAAAGTGGCGGGAGGAGATGGGTTCAAACAGCGGGTGCGTGATGCGTTGCTGCCACTGCCCCTGGCGATCCCAGACCGATGTGGTGAAGCGGGGTGAGGGTCTGGCGGAGTTCCGGGAGGCCCTGAGCAGCGGATGTGCTCTTCAGCCGAATGCAGGCCTTGGATGGCGCAGGGCGCCAGGAGATGAATGCCGCGTTCGACACAATGCGTCCAGGCGCCCGCAAGGCCATTCTGGCAGCTGCCGCGAAAACGCTGTGCTGGCAGGATCTGGGGAGCGCATGCATACCGGCTCCAAGCAGCGATCGGAGCCCGCTGTGGCTGCCTCTGAGTCTACAGATTGCCGGTAAGCCTGCCAGGCCCCGCCATCGCTCGTCACTCGACCCTCCACCCTCCCTGCGGACCCTCTCGGCTGCTGGGCACGTCCACACCGTCCAGAATGGTTTCCGAGGATGTAGAGATGCCCACAGGCGCTGGGCCGGTGGGATCGGTGCAGATGGTCACCAGCGCCTCCGTAACTCTGCTGCTCAGCCTCTACCGCTCCATCCTTGAGGGTGAGCAGGCCGGGCCGCGGTGGTGACCGAGCTAAATCAATGCCACTGTCCAGCCGTGCTCCTCCCGCCACCCTCCCGCCGGCGCCGATGCTGGCGCTCACGTGAGCGTCGCTCAGCACAAACTGGCCTCCCTCCGCACACTCCATGCGTCCCTCGCAGGGCCGATGGCGCTGGTGGTGCCGGAGCACACTCGAGACGCCTGCTTCCAGGTGCATGGCCTGCTGCTGTGCACGCCTGTCAGCGCTGCCGCAGACGCTCGCGCTTGTCCTCCCCCGACATGTCGCCTGCCCTGCCACTCTTCCTGCCTGCCCTGCATTGCCCCCCTGCAGCTGGTGTGCGACCTGCGCGCCAACACACCCAAGGACCGCCGCTTTCTGGCGCGCCACGCCGCCGCCCTTGCCCCACATACCGCCCCCGGCTGGCTGGTGCGCCCATGCCGCGGACGCGATCTGCAGCCTGTGGTGCCTGGTGCAGG